CTCCCAGTAGGGCATCAGAGACACCAGCAGCAAAATTCAAGAAAAAATAAAAGTCCAAAACCCATAAAAGAATGACTAAGAACACTGTGTACAATGAAGGTTGAAATTTCAGGATAATAATTGATGCCATAAAGTCAAATAAAAATATTTCTCAGACACATAGTAGAATGCATATTATACAAAATGTCACAAGTCAGTAAGAAAAAGACAAATTTGCAAAAAAAGAAGAAATGAGAATCTGGGTAAATAATTCACAATTTACAAAAGAAAAATATCTAATACCACGAAATGTGAAATGACAGCCCCATCTCACTAAAAACCTAGGAAATTAAAATTAAAACAGCAAATCATATGTAGTCCATTATATTGTTCAAGACTAAAATTAACAATAAGCACATGTTCTTAAAAGTGTAAAGGAATGAGTATTCCTATATTGAACTGATGGGATTATAAACTGCTAGATGACATCTAGAGAAACATAGAAGTGTCTATGAAAACCAAAAATGCCCACACCTTAAGGTCAGCAATTCTCTTCCCAGGTAGATAACCCAGAAAAACATTTTCATATTATATACTAAAAATAGTGGAAAAGTAAATACTGCAGAACTGCACAACACAGGAATCACCCTGGATACTGGAAATAATCAGTCAGACAAATAAAATGCAATACAATCATAATAAGAACTGTGCTTTAGCAGTTAAAAGTCACACACATGATCTACATGAATCAGCATGTATTTATCTGGAAATATTGCATGCATAGCAATACGTAGCAATTCTTAGTGAGTAGTTAATAAGTGTTTTGAAGTCTTTTAATACGGATTAAGTCATTTCATCTCCTGAATTGTTCTATGAGGCAGGCACGGCTTTATCCCATTTTATAGATGGGAACTGGAGCACAGTGAGGTAAAAGCCACAGCCCTGGTTTCCTGAGGTGGGGATCTTAAGTGAGCCACGGGGCTGCCAGGCAACAAGGAGGGGAGGACGCGACTCGGTGACCCCCAGTGACTGAAGGGAGTGGGAGGCTACACTGAACTCAAAATGATGGCGCCTTGGCAGAAAGTCTATGGGATGACCAGGATGGAGAGAAGATAGGAAAGGACTATGGTTTTATCTTCAGTGTTCTAATTTTTTATCTTAAGAAACAACACATTGACTTGTCATTTTTGAATCCATAATTATGCAGGAAAAAAATGACAGTTGGTCAAAGTGTTCACAGTAGTTGATAATGAACAGAGGGAATGTGAGTGGTTAGTTTTCTTATACTTTGGTGCATTTTTCAATTAAGAAAGGAAGGGAAGGAAGGGAAGGGAAGGAAGAGAAGAGAAGGAAGGAAAGAAGGAAGGAAAGAAGGAAGGAAGGGAAGGGAAGGAAGAGAAGGGAAGGAAGGGAAGGAAGGAAAGAAGGAAGGAAAGAAGGAAGGAAAGAAGGAAGGAAGGAAGGAAGGAAGGAAGGAAGGGGAAAGAATACCTGGAGACGAACACCCCTCACACGTACACATATACATAAGAGTGGAAGACTGGGCCCAGGATATTCGCATGTTCCACAAACCCCTGAGTAATTTGGAAGTGCAGACAGACACCGGTATGTGGCAGAGGTGTGGGGTGTCACTGCGGGGCCTGGGCTTTGGAACCTGAGACCCCCATTCAGACCCATCTCCACTGCACATTAGCTGTGTGGTCGTAAGCAAGTTATCCAACCTCGCAGAACTTCAGTTTTCTCATCTGTTAATGAGACCATGAAGCTTAATGAGGATCAACAATTCTGCCAAAAGGAAAGCCACCAGTCTGTATGACCAATATGTACTAATAAAAAATGTGGAAAAGAATCAAGATGCTTGATTAACTGAGAATATTATGTGCTTGGCTTATCACATAATGTGGTTCCACAAATACTAGAATGTTTCTTTCCCTTAACTCAGGACTTTGGATGCTTACAATCTAACTCTGAGTTTTACCCGGATGTTAATAAGTGTATAAGAGATATGCTGGCCTGTGCAATTTCTAAAGCAATTCTTGAAACATTTATAGGAAAAAAAATCTATACACACTAACAGCCACCTTTATTAATGGGCCAGGACAGCAATCTCTGGTTTCCCCTCCATAAAATGGGTACAGGAACACTTTCCATGACTTAGGCAGGTGAGATCTTAGATAATGCTGCAGAGAAGTCACCAGAGTGCACACACACACCACACACACACACACACACTCACTCTCACACCCACTCACACACACACTCACAAGGCCCTCTTAGGAGCACTTCACCCAGCTCTGGAAATTGAGTCACAGTACCAATCGTTTGTTAGATTGTAAACATCTGGTCATTTACTATTATTTAATCTATGAATTCTGATTTAGGCCTAAGGGATAACCTCACTAGGAAAAAATGCGATGAGCTGCCTGATAATACAAAGATGTGTTCTAAGAACATTTTTGTCCCTGGTAAATCCTCTGTCTCTACATACCTTCGTGACTCTCAGGCAGGCATTTATTCATCTCTGCTTTGGAAAGCCAGGTTCACTTATTTTAAACAAACTTCTTTTTAAACTTTTTTTCTCTACTGTAAAGTGATCCCTTTGTCCCCTCCCCTACTGTGCCCTTTAGAAAGAAATCTCAAAACACAAAGCCTGCATGTTAGGAGCAGGAGTGAGGTTCTCCTTCATAGAGGCAGGAGTATCTACTTAAATTATCTGGAATTCTTCTGTTGATCCTCTATGTACCAATATATTCATCCCTAGGTTCAGTTTTATAAAAGAACTCCAGGTAAAATATTTCTTTTAAAGTCCAGGGCAAAAGGGTAAAATGATCCTAATTTCCTTTGCTTGTTTTTAAGTTTCATTTTGTTCTCACTTGAACAATTAGCACATATAAAATTCTACTGACGATATAACTATGGCAGAGATAAAAATCCCCCACCTGGAGAATCCATGCTCGAGGCAGGGCTGTGGGACAGCAGTGCACATCGAGCAGAGCAGATGCATCCTGTGAGCAAAGGGGACAGCTCTGGGGACGCGGATAGGGTGACCCATCCAGGGACTCCTGGTGGGAAAGGATTGACCAGGCTGCTCCCTGGGTGGACAATGCACGCACTCCCACTGGGCTCCCCTCAGCATTTAAGGCTCTTTGTAGCCCTCAGGAATCCTCCGTAACGAATCTGGATTTGTGTTTGCTGAGCAAAGTCCAGGGGAGCAATAGCACATGTGCTGAGTGCCGAGTGCCTCAGCTTGCAGGGCAGCTTTCCTGCCTTCTACCCTCCCAGCCTCCCAGAGCCGTGTCCAGGGGCCTTGTTCCCCAGCTCCCTCGCACCAGGGACCCCTCCAAACTCATCTCATCACCTTGGCTTCCCTCTGCCCAGAGCTGTGCTTGGTGGCATGAGGCTGGTGTGGAGGCCCCTGTCCTTCTGTCCCCTCTCCCCAGAGGGGAGAAAGGAGATGGAGAAAGGAGAGGACAACTAAACAGCCAATGAAAGACACCAGGACAAGTGGGCCTGGGGGCATGTCTATAATCCCAGGACTCCGGGAGTCTGAACCAAGAGGAACTCAGGTTCCAGTCTAGGCTGGGCAAATTAGCAACTTAGCAAGACTCTCTTTGGCAAAATAAAATACTAGAAAGGGGGGGAAGCTCGGGATATAGATCAATGCAAAGTTCAATCTCCAGTACTAGGAAAACAAATAAGCAGATGATGTGATAAGGAAGAAACCACAGAAGAAAAAATTTTAAAGTTTTATTGTGTATCAGCACTTTTTTTTCTATTATTTGACTTGCATTTTCATGGTGCAATGGGCCCTGCAACTCACAAAGCCAGTCTTGTGTGACACAATGTTGAACAACAGTTAAGAAGGTCGGTTCTGAAGTCAGAATGCTCAGATTCAAGTAACATCTCCAGTATTTACAGCGGGGTGACCTTGGGCAAGTTAATGAACCTCTCTAACCTTCAGTTTCTTTCTCTGAAAAATAGGGACAAAAGCCCCTAATTCATGCTCCTTTTATGCAACTAAGCGAGATGGTGTCTCCAGAGCTGCTGTCACTGAGAGGCCTTCCCACACCCCACCTCTGCTCATGGCTACTCACAGAGCTTCTCCTCCTTCCGCTGTCTGGCTCCCCAGCCCTTCCCTAAGCACCGAGAACTTTGTAGGTTTTCATGGGTGCTCTCATCACATGGTGCCAGGCCCAGGAAGGGCTGAATGCATGACACCAATGCAGGTTGAGCAACATTCGGATAGTCCTGACAACCAGCCTGCCAGTCCACTGGGCAGGTCATTAACAATGGTAGAAAGCAAAGCATTTTCAGTAGGAAAGGCCCAGCTGAAGCATTAGCAAAGTACCTGTGAGAAATCTGGATTAGGAAATCGTGCCTACCGAAAGCCCAAATCAGTATTTCCTGAATTCTGTTCTCAGATGTTAATAACTATTCTTAAAATTGAGTCCACAGTAATCGGCTTGGAAAATAGTACACACATTTACCCCTATAATGACCTGCTATGTACATTAGAGTTTTGTAGACTTTAAAAGTCCTATGACAAAGAAATCAGAAAAAATCATCTAACCTTGTTTCTCATACATATTGGCCATGGGATCTCTTTAATCATAAGATATCAACCAATACCTTGAAAAATATTAGCTGTTGTCTAGAACATAGTTTGGGTTTAATCTGCCCAAAGGAAAGGATGGTGTCTTATTTATTACCTTATTTCCAGATAATCAATATTAATTTAGTGAATTAAAGAATCAATGATTCTTTCATTTCATTTTGTCTAGTCTTCAACCATGATCACATGCAATATATATTTACCAATTTTCAGATATGGTTTTTTCACAAAGTCCCTGTTGCACTTAAGCAGGTGTGAAATATCAGGACTGCAGTATGAGTGGAGAGACACAAGCTCCAGAGATTGAACTTAACTAAGTCCACATAGCTGGTTCTTGCGAGAGGTGGAGCAGAAGTTGGTTTCAGCTCTGTCTTTCAGATGTCACCTAAGACAAACACAAAGCACTCACCTCAAACAAGCGCAAGACTTTGGCCAATGCACCAACTTCTTCTTTGAGGGAGAAGATCAATGAGATGGCGCTATTTTGGCTGGAGTTGTCTTCAATGTACCTCGTTTCCTGCAGAATTAGATGCACTTGGTTAAAATATTTTCAACATCTTGGAAAATTCTTCCTTTGAAACCTCCAAGAAAGAAGCAAACGGGATTTTTCCCTAGTTAAGCCTTGGAATCCAGTGAGCTACGTGTACTCTATCCAAAAGTATATTGTGGGGCCGGGGATTTAGCTCAGTGGTTTCGCCACCTGCTGCGCAAGCGCAAGGACCCGAGTTTGATCCCCGGTACCAAAAAAAAAAAAAGTATATCGTGTGGTGGAAGATAAGTCAGTCAAGGGGAAGGAAATGCTCAGTGATGCTCTCGCATCCATTTTCATTTTGGTTATTCACTGATGTCACCCGTCAATCCCATTAAAATTAATGCCTTTTCATGTGCACTTACTAAGTGCCAGGCACAATTCACTTTGTATCTGAGAGACACAGAGATGAAAAGGCAGCACTTCTACCCTTCAGGAGCTAAAATTCTTACTTAATAGCCACTTTTACAACTAACTGAAACATACTTAGAGGCAACATAATACAGCTCTGAAAGTAAGCATCCCAGAGAACACTGGGAAAGACATGGGCAAGTACTCAGAATAGACACAGGCTTCTGAATTTGAAGACTTGGCTTGAAATCCTCTCTCTTCCAGTTTCCTGCACCACTTTGGGAAAATCTCTCAGCCTTTTTGTTCCCTCAGCTATCAAATCATGATAATCATAACTCTTATCAAAACAAATTCAGATGATGAAGAAAAAAAGATAAGTTTAAAAGGAATATTAAAAGAAGTATAACTGCAAAAAAAAGAAGTACAACTGCTAAGCTTTTGGCAAAATCTCGGGAAGCATTAACTCATTCCTATATGCTGGGATCTAAGATATCCATTTCTGAAAAAGAGTCATAAAATGCAGAAAAGTACACAAATAACCTATCAGAAGGGGCTTACTTTTAAATAAATAGTAAAGAATGCGAAGTATCTACCACATACTACTCGTGTGTGACAGCAAAAGGGGGTAAGGGACAGGTGTGCATTCCAGAATCTGCCAAACATTACCCCAAGTTTGAAAAATAAGTTTTATTTTAAAAATGATGTGCACCACTGACATACAGAATGTTCCTAAAAGCTGGGAGGAAAAACGTGCATGACACGTGGCCTTTTGTGAGCAAGTTAATGCAGTTAAGGAACTGGAGGTCACAGCATCTCCCTGGAGAAGGCTGAGTGGGGCAGATTCTTATCAGCGGCTGAGAGAGTAAACACTGCTCCCATCCTAATGGCCCCTAGGAAAACTTTTTCAAATCAGAAAATTCAGATTCTCCCAGAACCTCCCATGAAACAGCAATGTGGAGAGGAACCCAACTTATCAGCAAGTGGAATGAGAGCGTGAATTAGAATTAGAAGACCGAACGGTCCTAAAGTCCCATTTGGAGCATGATGCTATCTTTCTAAAAGCAATTTTCATGTACCGTTTACTAAGAGCCTATCATGTCCTGGGAATTACAGTAAGCGCTTGGTTTGGATGATCTCCTCTAACTTTGAAAACAGTATAAGAGATAGGTTTTATTATTCACCAAAGCCCCCTTTGTTGGCGACAGGATTAAAGCTCAGCGAGGTCGAGTGAGTGGCCTCGAATACCCCAGGTCGCAGTGGGGCTGGGATGGAGGCAGAGCGCTGCCTCCCTGCCTGCTGGCCTTGCATGACCACCTGTTGCAGGCTCTTCCTCGGCTGCAGACGGGTCTGGCTTCCGTCTCCTCCCTACCATAGAGCGCTGCCTGCTTAGTTCTTCTTCCCTCGAAGAGACAAAGATTGCTCTGTCTCTGGTTCACTTGGCAACTTTCCTCTCTCCAGCTGACCTCTAGGCAAAGGGGCTATCCCTGATGCTGAGCAGCACACCCCACCTTCGGCTGGGGCAGCTCACACTTGAGAGCGCCTCTGCCCGAAATCAGTCACCCCAGCCCTGGCCCACTCCTGCACCTGTCCCTCGGACCACCAAGTCCAACTCCATCTCCCCAGAAACGACTCTGCTTTCCACTGCCATCGTGGGACTCCAGCTTGGTGGTCCACACGATCCCCCAGAAAAGAATTGTGCCCGGGGCCGAGGATTTATCTCAGTGGTTTCGCCGCCTGCTGAGCAGGAACAAGGACCCGAGTTTGATCGCCAGTACCAAAAAAAAAAACTGTGCCCAAGTCCTTCTGCACTGTCTAAAGCATTCTGGATGATTTTTAACTACGGAAGATCTCAAAATCGCTGATAAATACACAGGCTGTGTGTTAAAAGTGTGTCTTCGAGTCTACGTTTGCTATGTGATTAGGCACTCCTGTGCTACACCATACTGTGCTGTTACTAGGGTTGGTTCTGCCTCTGACTGAGTACCTAGCACTTGCAGGGAGCTGTGCTGAGTGCTTTGAACAGTTAATAAACCTCCTCTTGGGCAGCAACTAGCTCTTCTCCAAGAGTGTACACGTGTACTCCTCCTTCCTCACAAGACTGTTGCTCTCCTTTTGTAAATGAGGAAATAGACTCAAACAGGTGAAGCAGTTGTCCAAGGGCATCCAGCTAATGAGTAACAGAGTCTGAACAACAGGGTCAGTGGTTCCAGGAGCAGACTCGGCTAGGACAACAACTTCCCTTCTGGATTCTGACACTGCTGTGTTGACCCAGCCAATCACAGACCTTTGACAAACTCTTCTTGAGTATTTTTTCATTATCTCATGAGCTGCGCTTAATTTATTTCTAACAGATTTGTGAGTTGACTTGTACACATGTGTACAATGTGGATGGGTATGAGGTAGAGAAATGGAACTCACAAACTCACTGAGAAGAAAGAGGGCAGGAGGAAAGAACTTTATTAGGAACCAAGAATCAAAGAATTTCAATGGTTGAACAATGAATGCATTCACCGTAGAAACACAACATGTTCTTTCTAGTTGTGTCTAAAAAGTGCATTCTGTTATCTTTAGAAAGAGCAGATTTCAGATTTATAAGCAACACATTTTAGCAAGGGTACTCCAGGAATGCTGACTTCCAATCTTGGTGCTTTGAGGGTTATGAGGGAGATATGCATTTGTAGCTGTGGACACACACACACACACACACACACACACTATAAGATGACTAAGCACAAGATGCAAAGCCCCACCACAAAATATCTCTCCGCAGCATAGTACAAACTCCCTATCTATCTCTACATCCCAGCATTAGCCTATAGGAGGAAGCATTGCAGAAAACAAATGTACATCGTTGTTGGAGTCAGATGGAGGTTTAAACACCAGCTCCACTATTGGTAGATATGGTTTCTGCCTTCCTCACATCCTGTTCCATGACTCTATTTTTCACAGCATTTTTCTCTATATGAAATTATACTACATGTTGATTTTGTTAGTTTTTAATTGCTGATCATTTGCAGGAGAGTAGATTGTGGTGGGGCAGGAACTGCCCGGCCAGCACACAGCAGTGCTCGATAAGTCTTGGCTGAGTGAATGGAAGAGCCAACTCCCTCCTACGGGACAGGAAAGCTGTGATGCTGCCTGAGGAAAGCTCTGCTGCACCCTAGGCCCCCAGCACTCTGGGGTCCTCCTGCCCAGCTGTCCTGAAGACTCCCAGAGCTGGAAGGAGTCCTGCAGATGAATGGAGTCCAATCCCATCTGCCTGGGCCCTACAGATACCGAGCTGAGCCTCCCTGCCCCAAAGCACAGCTGACATGGACCCGGAGCGTCCTGCACACCTGGCACCCTCTCCAGGACGAGCTGCCCCAGGCACAGTGCCTGACCCCTGGCCCATCCGGGCCTCCCTGCCAGAGTTCAGGACATTTTGTGGAGCAAACCCTTCGGTTCTAGCTACACGCACCGGGTCCCTTTCCTGTACTCCAGGAACTGCAGAAAAGATGTATAGGCTTTATTTCATTTAATTCTCATGCTGCCCCTAAGATGTGGCTATTTTTATTCCTACTTTTCAAACCAATGAGTCTGAGGCTCTGCGAAGTCAAATACCCACGTTGGATGCAGAGGTGAGACCCCGGCTTGCCTGAAATCCACCTCTACCGGGGCCCTGCACTTGGCAGTGCCAACCTGTGGATTCTTGGTCTTCTAAGTGCTACAGAAACCAAACCTCAAGACCCCTTGGCTCGTTGACCTGAAGGTTGCCCTAACCCATCTCACGGATCCAAAAGAGCTGGTCCACATCCCCGCAGTCTCTCCAGGTATGCTCATTTTGGACTCAACCTTCCTCTCCTCTCTCTCGCCCCCTAGTGGTTCTCCCTAATCCTGCAGGCTCGGTCCTCCGAAATCTGAATCTCATAGACCCGAGAGTGATTTCCCACCTGGAGTGAGGATGTAAGTCAAACTGTGAAATGTGCTCTGCAACTATTTACCTCACGAGAATAATGACAAACCCTGCAGCGTGGCACCCACGCTCTCTATATCCCCAGGACACTTTCAGGGTTCTGAGCCATGGTACACCTGGGGTGATGGCCTCGTTCATCTCCATCTCTACTGAGTTTCTCCCTCCCCCGTTCAGAGACAGTTTCCAAACTCTCTTCAGGCTTTCTCTTCTCCCAGAGTTAAAGGGAGATTCAGTTTCCCATAATCTTACCGTCCTCGTAACTGGCCCAGGGCACTTTATAACATCACAGAACTCCAAGGCTCTGCCCCAGATGATGAATGACTAGCCCTTTCAGTTTAGAGAGAGAAGACAGGAAACAGAGAGGGGCCGTGACCTGTCCAAAGACACACAGCTGGTTGGTAGCAGCTCTGGACAGGTGATCCCCAGCTCCTAAAGCAGTGCTCTTTCTCCTTGAAAACCACGTAGGATGGATGTGGTTCATTGGGGACAGTTGTTAAGGGCAGAACTACCTGATGACTTCTGGTCATTCTCACTCTCTGCAAATGAATTCAGACTTCTTGGTGAGCTCATGACCCTAGGAAGCATCAGTATATTCCTATCTCAGATCTCTCCTCCCAGGCGCACACCCAGGACTGGGGATTGAATGCTGGACTACTCCAACCCTTTTGTTTTTTATTTTGAGACAGAGTTTCAGTAAGTTGCTAAGATGGCCAGACTAGGCTTGAACTCATGGTCCTCCTGACTTAGGTGCCAGAGTGCTCGGATTAGAGGTGTGCACCGCCACACCCAGCTAAGACCTCTTTCTCCCTGGGCAGCTGGGGCCACCCTGGCCTACCTGTCCAAAGTCAGAGAATTTTCGGTCCAAGCCTCTGTTCTCCAGGACCACAGCAGACATGCTGGCGGCTGGAGAGAGCTGTCTGTAGCACCAGATCAGCAACCAGCACGAGGCTGAGCATTTTAACCTGGTGCAGCACAGGGTGTGTCCTGACACGTCACCTGTCGGGCTGAAGCCCAGGGGGCGTTGCCCCGAGGCAGCAGGGTGAGAGGAGGGATCCTAAGGGCCTGGCAACCTGTGAGGCTGTGCTTGGCAGCCTGCCCTGAACAGAGGCCGAGGCCAGACAGCCTAGGGCCACCTGTGCCTGGAGATTACACATGTTTGACATAGAAGTGTTCTCCGGAGCCTGGACAGCAGCTTGCCCCCAACTAGAGTAAATCCACCTCTGCCTGATGCTGACAATCATGGGAACAATTCCCTCCTCATTCCTGTACAAACACACCCAGGGTCCTAATGTAGATTTTTTTCGGTACCTTTTGCTGACTGCTCAGCAAACCACCTTGCTATGCTTTGTCTTTGGAAATCTATGTATAGCTGATGTCGTGGACATTGAGCTCCACAACTGAAGAGCAAAGGTAGGGGTCAATGGGGTTGAAATCCATCACAGGTTCCACAGCAACTTACATAACCCAGGGGGGGCTCCCAGTAGAGGATGGCAGGGCCACCTCGCTGCAGTGCATGAGAGGCAAGAATCAGAGGGTCGAGGCAATGTAGTAACACTTGGTAAATGATCATAAACTTGGCAACAATAGGACTGTTCCGTGTTCGGGTGGCCTTCCGGGCCTTGTGAATACACCAGGGAACAAAACACAGGAGCGGGCAACCGCCAGCCACCAGGCAGCCAGAGCAGGGCTAAAGCAAGCCAAGGAGGCTGGGAGTGGATTTCTGGGAGGCAGGGCAATGCTGTCAACCCCATCTTACCAAATAGGGGCACAGAGCTGGGGTGTTAGTCACTAGCAGGAAAATCGAAGTAGAAAGAGAACACTGGAGAGTTACAGTTTCAGGAAAGATGCAAAATATCAGGGACAGGAGGCCTTGAGGGCCTGCTTAATATTTACCCAGGAGAGGTTAAAGGGGTGTGAGGTCACAGGCCGATAACAGAGGTTCTGTGAGCCCACCCCCACCCCTCCCACGATTCTCTGACCTAAAAGCTAAGCATCTGCCAAAAAAGAGAAAAACCTCAAGTTTTGGATTAAAAACAAGTGGATTCATTCCTGGTTTTACCATTGAAGAGCTCTGTTTGCTGTCGTTAAGACGGAGCTTTTAGTGGCTGATTAGGGTTTCTCCCACCTCTGCACCCATCAGGCTGCCAGGAGTACAGACAGAAAGCACAGCATCAGTCCTATTCCTAATACTTAATGTTCTCCAAAAGTCAGAATTGGGTCATTTATTTTATTTATTTCACCAATCTGATCACAATGAAGGGGTATCTTGCTTCTGCTTTTAATTTGCTTTTCCTTTATAACTAGTGAATGTATTTCTTTTTTTTTTTGCACTTTATTAAATTCTTTTATTGGTACATTTTAGGTATACAACACAATTACATTTCTCATTGGGAATTGTACCTTTACATA